GGTGTGTGTGTGTGTGTGTGTGTGTGTGTGTGTGTGTGTGTGTGTGTGTGTACAATTTCAAATTGATTTGAGAAAAGGGTGTAGGGTGGGGCAAATTGCTAACTGAAGAAAACTGGATCATCCTGAGTGATGCATGCCAAGCACATAATTTTATACTGCTAGTGTCAAAGTGATAGGATTATTACCTCCATATTAGGGGGTGTGCACACGATCCGATTAGTCGCCATCAATAGTCATTTCACTTCGGAATTCTGCAAACTCGTGTCGAAGGGGATATTTCGAAGGCATTTCGAAGTCGAATAACGGCTGGGCACGCAAGCTGTCCTTTCGAAGCCGACTTACCACTTTAATAGCATATTTCCACATCCCTCTTTCGGGACCTTGTTGAGACTTTTCATAGATCCAGGAACCGTTTAAACGGTGGGGACTGAAGAGCGTAGTTTTGTACGCCTAGCGTGATTCTGACGGACGCGTAGAGGAGCGTTATTTTGGCGCCGTACGTGCTTCAAAGTGTGTACAAATTCTCGCACGGTTTCAGCTTCTTCCGACCACTCCGCCTGAAAAGCTTGGCGAAAAATCCCCGAGGACCTTTCATCGGCGATCTGGGTTTCTCTTTCCGGTCGCCATCTTCGTTCCGCTGTTCCTTCCCCGGAAATGAGATGGTTGTGAAAGGTATGCGCATGTGCAGTCGGATCTGCGTGAGGATCCCCACCAGAAGTTCGTCGACGTAGTGGTTGAGCGCGGCAGACGTCTCTGTGTACTTACAGTCGTACGTCTCAGCGACCAGACGAGCTTCTGTGGACAAGAAAACATATTTTTTTTAGTCAAGAGAAGCATCTGGACTCTACAATTTTCATTTGGTGGGAGCAAAAGCAAGGCTGCAAAGCAAATCTTTGTGGTTGCTTTTGTATATGTTTTTATACATCCTTATGAATATTATTTAGCTAATAATAATAATAATAATAATAATAATAATAATAATAGATCCTTCAGGAGGTGGGCTGTTTCCATCTTGCCTGCCAGGGCCACCACAGAATGAGAGTGACATAGCGTGACTTAAAATACTACAAAATCCCTACTATACATTATTAAGATACATGTATAAGGTTAAATGTGCATTGTCTGATAGAACTACATTTTTGAACAGGTACGACTTTATTTTTGGCCTGTTCATCCCGGTACTCCAAAATAGTTTTGTCGAGCACTGGGACCTTTCTCCAGGCACA